TGGGGTTTTGTTGGATTTTCTTGATATTTGTTTGTTGGTTGTGGGGGTTTTTTGGTTTTTGTTGTTTTGTTAGTTTTTGGGGTTTTTTTAACTGGCACATCACTCTATTTTCATCTCAAATGGTGAACTACACCTGGAAAATGTCTAAATTTAGGAAACATCATGAATTCAGTACAGTATTTGCTGCTGAAGACCAAAAATCTATTAGAATAAACAATGCAATGTTTCAAAAAGCTAGCTACAAAAGTTATCTTTAAAACTTAACTGTTACTGTGAGCACTTTATCTGAAGTGCAATTTTTCTACTGACTTTGTGGGAAAGAACTGAGACACACACTTCCGAGAAAAATTTTTATCCTCTCCAATTCAGCTTTTTCTTTTTGGAGAACATCCTGCCAAAACTAAATTGTTAAACACTACCTTGGACTCCCTGTGCACTTTGCAAAAACCTCAACTGTAATTTAGCAGTACCTTGATTTGTGAAACCTTATCATTAAATTGTCTTTCTCTGTCCGTATCTTTTCTGGCATTCTTAGAACCTTCTAAGAAAATGTGTTATTTACGAAGTGACCTAGGGCTTGAATTTCTTTTATATTTTAAATGTTATACAGTAGGCAATTCTCCTGACAGACATTTTTCTCTGTTGTTATTTAAGTACCTGGGTACATGTTTTTCCAACAAATTCACACGTCTATGTCTTCAGCTGTGCACTGATTTAGGACATGGTTGTTTTAGGTCAGCATCTCCCACATTGTCTTCTCTTGTGAAAAATTAGTTCCTATGAAATTCTTATCATTCCATATAGTCTTATTGAATATCATCCTTTTTCTAATGCCAGGTACACTCGAGAGAGGGGCCTTTCATTAACTGATGAAGTCAAAACGCAAATTCTCAAATGTTTGTATCAGTGTTATTTAGGAGGACATTTGCAGTAGGAAGATAAATGCAAATTGCATAAATCTGGCAGTATTTTCAAATGGCTAAAATATTATAAAATAAAACATTTTATGTTGCAAAATACTAAAGAAGTAATTACCATTAAAAGGGAACAAATAAGGAAAGTGTAATGGGAGGGTAGAAAGGTGTAATTTCATACTTTTAAGAAAAACGTTTTCTTGAGAGTATGAACTTCAGTATATTTGTGTATTGTGCAAGTTTGTAGTTATACAGGTGTCTCATTCTTCCAGGATTTTGAAGGAAGAGCACTTTTAAAAACCATACTTCGAAAAGAAGGAGCTAAATGGCGCACTGCATGACTTACATCAAATTTTGGCAAGGAAAAAAATCTTTCTTTTATGGTTTGTTTGCATTTTCAGTATGTTTATGTATTCAAATCAAGGTTGAACAATAAAGTATTATTAGAAGATACAAAAAAGAAACGGATTAATACCTCTCAAGGTACACCTCTGCTGGTAACACAAAGAATTAGCATAAAGTCTGGTTTGAGAAGTATTCATCTGTTTTTTCTGAGGGCTAAATTAATTCACTGTTGTGTTAATGACCACTTTGAATAAAGTAAAAGAGTTAAAAAAGAAACAGAAAAGGGATGAAAAGGTAATTTTAAAAGCACACCTTATAAATCTGTTGAAAAGGAAGACTGTACTACGGATGACACGTGCTGTACGGGATTCTTCATTCTGAGATCTGGACAGGGTTAAACCATCATCCATGTGACCTTCATGGTGCATTATTGCCTGCAATACAAAAATAAAAAGTAGTCACTGCAAAAATGAAACATTATTCACAAATAAGAAGTACGAAAACCCACATAATCAGGCAGGATAGGAAATTATGAAGTCACATTAAAAAAAACAATTTAACTAAAAACAGATGATCCCATTCCAGGTTTTACTTCGAGTCCAAGGACACACTTGTACTGAGCCAGCAGGTTCAGTATCATCATAATCTCAAAGCCACAGCTTCTGTAAACAACACACTCTGTTAAAAAAAAAAATTAAAAATCAAAAGTCCAAGGGTTTTTGTTTGTTGTTTGGTTTTGTCAACCTTAAAAATAGTTCCCTTACACAGACCTAAGTATAGACACAGTCAAAACAGCAAAACAGGCATTCTTTACTGGTCCTGGATTCCGAGGATGTTCCTGGCCTTCTTTTCTGACTATGCCTTGAGTCAGTACTGATAACTTACAGTTTTTCATGTTTAGTTATCATGCCTCTGAAAGTATTCAATCCAATCTACATAACTATTTTAAACTATTTTAAGTAACTTTGTTTTTCATGCGCACACACACAAACTACTTATATTACTTACATTACTAAATTATTCACTAGTGTAGCTTATTTTGAATTATTTTAGAATTAAATATTACAAATATTATAAATATTAATTATATTAATATTATAATCATTAAAATTTTACATTTATATAAACACTGTTTCCTAAATATGTATTATTTTATATAAAATAATTATAGAATGTTTGTGTACATACATAGAATCTATGATATAAACAAATTTTTTATATATACATAAAATTGGAAGGCATGACTTTCCAAGTACACCAGATGTTACTCTAGCTTTGTAGTTCTGACTATTCTACAACAGTCATAGAAAATACTACAGTGTGGATAAACATCACGTTTTATTTTATTTTTTAAAAGAAGGCAAAAACATTTTGTCCTTGCTGAGAAATAATTTCCTGCAAAGTTCAGTTTTGGGCCCCTCACTACAAGAAGGACATTGAGCTGCTGGAGCGTGGCCAGAGAAGGGCAACGAAGCTGGTGAGGGGTCTGGAGCACAAGTCTTATGGGGAGCGGCTGAGGGAACTGGGGTTGTTTAGTCTGGAGAAGAGGAGGCTGAGGGGAGACCTTCTCGCTCTCTACAACTACCTGAAAGGGGGTTGTGGGGAGGTGGGTGCTTGTCTCTCCTCCCAAGTGACTAGCAATAGAACAAGAGGAAATGGCCTCAAGTTGCACCATGGGAGGTTTAGACTAGGCATCAGGAAAAATGTCTTTACTGAGACAGTGGTCAAGCATTGGAACAGGCTGCCCAGGGAGGTGGTGGAGTCACCATCACTGGAAGCGTTCAAAAAACATGTAGACGTGGCACGTTTGGGACATGGTTTAGTGGGCATGGTGGTGTTGGGTTGATGGTTGGACTTGATGATCTTAAAGGTCTTTTCCAACCTTAATGATTCTGTGGTTCTGTGTGATTCTGTTACACATTTACAACAAACACTAGAACAAATGTAGCTTCTGGAAGATGTGTTAAGTTGTAAAAGAATCGTTTTCCTATTTTATTATGCTGAACTAGCATTCTGCTTGGCCATGGTTATTCCTTATAAAAAAGAAATCCCTCAGATCTCAAGACTTTAAATTTCCAGCCCAAAAGGGGAGAGACTCACAATGTGGAAAGAAAAGACTTTGAACTAAAAACCTCCACAATCCAAACTACAGCACATTGCAGAAAGGAATTTTAGCATAATCTACAGGATATTACTAATATTTTAGTTTGACATCGAGTATATCCTGAGTTATCAATGTTTGTGGGTTAATGTCTATAGGCTAACACGCACTTTGGCTTTCAGTTTAAGAATTCAGTACATCACAAAACTTTTTAATATGTGACTAAAAAAAACCAAACCCTTTCACAATGAAGCAAAGTCATGCTTAAAATATTTGAAACCCAGAAATTAGCTATCTCCTGCAGTTCCCTTAGTTTTCCCACCTCTGCCCTATCAGGCTGTGACTGAATAAAATGCATTGTTATTTACAGTCTTACCTTCCGCTGCACAGAACCCATTCTTACAGACTTTGCATCAGCAGACTGGTATGTGAGCCATAAACCTGTATCTACATGTTGTATGAAGCATATTGAATCCCCATATTTTATTTCAGGTGCTCCCATTCCATCCACCTCTTTCCTTGTCCCTACATCCAATTTTTCCTGAAAAAGAAGACAAGGAAAAATGTATAGAAGTACAATAAGCAGCACGTTAATATTTGCATAAAATCTTGAATACTAGGCAATCGTCCAGAACAGGACCTAAAAAAATATTTGAGATCCTTCTTTAATGAAACAATTAAAAACTGGCAAAAGTATAACTTCTAGTTAAATATTTAGAGAAAAGATGGGGAGAGAGAGACCCCATCCACTTAAAAATCTACCTTATTACACTAGGAAAGGCGGGTGTATTCATTTCACCTGCCTAGCAAAGAACTAGGATCGTAACTGACTGTACATGTCATTATCGAAACATAAAAGCTTACAAAAGAAGACCAAATACATTGAATCCCCTAGCTGAACCAGATATTACCCTCCAGAAGCTTTTTTGGGGGGATTTTTTTTTTTTTTTACCCCCAGCCTTGAAATGATGAGCACCTCCCTACAATTTCTTTCCAACTGTCAGAGAGATGGCATTTAACACATCACTGTCTGTTACTGCCCAACAATGGGCTCAGTATTTCCCCAGAAAAGAAACCCATTTCCACGTCTTGGTGACTAGCTTGTTGACATGCTGTAAAAGAAGAATGGTGTGACCATGCATCAGTCCAGCTGGTGTCCTGTACAGACAGCAGTTATTTCAGGGCAGGAAATGTAGTATCCCAAACAACACTACAGTTTGTAATTGTAATTCGAGGTGTTCCCCAATACCTAGCTCTCTTAAGAGCCACCTCCTTCCCAACAGACATCAGTTTATAAAACGAACAGCCTATGCACCCTGGTTTGTGGCACATCATCCACTTAATCTCTCCAAAAGGATATGATTCAAATGACCGATATACCTCTTGTCTGCCTGCGCTAGTTGTTCGATCCAAAGGTTAAGTATGAAAAAAAACATGTTACAAAGGATCAGTATATATCTTGTTAACTGCAGGAAGGATGTTAATGTAGTTATGCCCAAAACTTCTCAGGGGAATTTGATCTTCTTTGCTCCAAGTTCTTGAAGCTTTCACCACTAGCTCCATTTTGGGCAAAGATCTCCTCCACTGAGAGTAACCAAAACCACTTTGACTCACTAGTTCTGATTCATGTGATCAAGTTATTGATATAGAAACTATTCGTCATTCTTCTGGGAGGAGAAGATCATATCACAACTGTTGCAGTTGAAGCTGAGACTACTATAATACCACAGTTGCTGCTTTGCTCTCCCGTTCTCAACTTCAACAGCGCAGGCAAGTACACCGGTGCAGCAACTCCCTGTATTCTGTTTCTGTATTTGCTCACACATGCCCAGATAGAAAGCTGCTTAATTTTCACGAATGTTTGAGAAATCATCTGTGCAAATTGCAGGCCTATTTTAAGCTGTACATTCAGGGTGCAAGATGACCCCCTTCACAAAAGACAGCTTCAACCTTCTCTGCTTCTCCTGATCAGCAGTAGAGGACAAGCTACTTCCTTCAGTTCCTCAGAGTACTGTCACAAATAATGAGACAAAAACTTTTAAATGTTCTTTCCTACTACAACCAGGCAAGATCAGGAGAATTATTACACCACACACATGTGCCTTGACAATCTGGGGAGACAGCTTCACAGTAAAAGGTAATGAAGATCAGGTTTTGAAAGGAACAGAAAGCAATCTCTAATTTATTAAAGGATTTAAAAATGCATTTCTTAAGTAAAGGGAGATGTCATGTAACTAGATTTTCACCCTACAATTATGAATGCATTTTGAAGCACTTAAAAAAAAGATAATTAATATACTCAGGTAAAATTCATATTATTACATTTCGTAACATTAAGCTTTAGAGATAATCTATTAATCAATACAGATTATTAAACTGTTTCTGGATACAAATGTTAATTTCACTATCTTGTAAATGTCCTTAAGCAATGAAATTCTTATTAAAATCTTGTCCACTGATACATGATAATAACTGATTTATGAATACATCTGATGCCAATTACTGAGTTATTGTGTACTTCTATTTCATTATTCATTCATTATTTTGTTGATATCATTTCTCTAAATGTTTATTTAGTTCTTGTATTCAAAAGCTAGCACAAATAACCTGAATGTAATAACAGCTGGAAATTGAAAAGCTATTATAACAGGACATCGCACACAAATGACTATACAGGAAAAAATAAATTAGGTCCTGCTATCATATGAAGAAATGACAGCCTGATTTCAAGCTCTAGTCTTTTGAATTCTCTTCATAACTAGAAGATAGTGTGAACCTGTGTGGACATACTGCGCTTCTACATTGTAAGATTTTCTTTTTTTCCAAGTCTTCATCCTCGCAACCAACTGAAGATATGAATATATGGATTCACAAATTTTCTCATAAAGCACTGTCAGTAACAAAAGGGATTATTAATTTAAAATATTATTCCATATTTTATTTAAAATCTACTGACTATAAAAGAAATTGAAGGGGTTTGATACTGCAATCTTCATTCCAATTAGAGTTAACATTAAATTTACTTAGCATAAAAATTGCAGTGCCAACAATTTGCCAAACAAGACCTGTCCTCACCTACGTAAGTGCACTGACTACTCTGCATGTAAGTTTAGAGGCCAGACTGAAGTGACACTACAAGGGAGAAAAAAAGAATTTCCTGAATTTCTGATGCTCGAAGTCTAATATAATCCTCATTTAATGATAATTATTAGGGTACCAGAGCATAAAGCCCAATACCCAGAAAAAAAAAATGAAGAGACTGTTAGCTTTTCAGACTATGCATGTCTTCTGAGTGCTGTTTGGCTCGTGATGTTTTTAAGCTTTCACGTTTCTTTATTTTGCTGAGATATTTAAAGAATTCTAACACATAAGAAGATTCTGACAAAATTTTTCAACTTCTGTACCAGAATGTCGTGGTTGTGGTTGGAGGGGGCACGGAAAGAAAGTACATTTGCATATATGTGTGTGCGTGTTACTTTGAGCATCTGAGAAATGTACTCTGGTTCATATAAGACATCTTATAAAAAACTTCAGCTTTCTGGTTCTCTTCAGCTTATTTTTTTAAATGCAGTACTGGCAAGCTAATGTGTTTATAATTATGAGCAAAGCCCTTGCAAATAATAAGGTTAAAAACAACAATAAATGTTGAGCATTTATATTTGCATCTGAATTCAGATTTACAGGGGATGTATTTTCAATATTTTCTCTGCAAACATGAAAGCTGCTTTTCATTTGAAAGTTGAATTTATTATCTACTCACACACCTTAAGGAACTGAGTCTTTGATAAGGGTATTCTTTCCCTCAACAGTGATATTACATCACCTAAACTTTGCCTATTTAGAGCTAACTCATCTATAGCACAAGTGGGATCTTCAAAATTCTTCCTACTTTTCAGGTAGTGGAAGGAAGAATTACGACTGTGGCAAAAAAGGACTGAAATTGCTGTAAGAAAGACCTAGCTACCTGACATACTCCCACTATTAATGCTCTGTATTCAATAGAGAAGATTAGGGACTGCCAGAATATGCAGGAATAATTACTCTGGGCTAACTACATGCAACAACAGAAGTGAAAGGTTGGTGTCCATACATGCTCAGAGAAAAAGAGACCCCTAAAGCTGCTTACCTTCTCTACAGAAGCCTTTCTAGGACTGCCTTAGTTTTGAAATATTAACATTCTTTTCCGGAGAGGGAAAGCACCTAAAAATTGTTAATGCCTGTATCATAATAAAGTGAAACATGACACTCCTTTAAGAAGTCCTAAGCAGGAGACTGGATTAATTCTCAGCGATGAAGAGCAAACCATATACTCCTCCCCCATGGCATCTCCATAATTCCTTCCAAATAAGTCTTCATTTAAAATGAATGCTGATATCCACAAAATTAACATAAAATATGATCTTCTGAACTTCCAATTTCTTTGAAAATGCGTATTTAAATATCAGTAAGACCGTATCTGTCACGTGCTGATTAACATATAGATCCCTCTTAAAATACTCTCATGTTACTTCAATAATTGACTACCATAACATATTTCTACATGCCTCAAAGCCTTTTTATCTCTGCTCTGCTCAGCATAGAATAGCTTTGGACACTTAACAGCAACTGAATCAAAAAATGTTAACTTTTTATTTTGAACATGGTAGAACAAAACGACTTCAATATATAAAGCTTCAAAATACTTCCAAATAAAACTTCCAAAATCAGGTTTGCAAAAAACAAGTGAGGAAACTCCAAATACAACATTGTTTCATCTCCAAAACACAGGTGTATATGCTACTTAGAAAATAGAGATGAACTACCTTCTCCGTATCAACAAAAGACACTCTCTGTATTGTTAACAATTCTTGCCTTCAAGTATTTTTTTTACTAAATAATCCACGTTACAGTACAGTGCAGTATACTGTTCCACTCTTTCTGGAGTAACTCCAACTGAAGACTTCATCTTGAGAATCCGTGACTGAATCATTTTATCTGTCTTGCTTCAAAGGAGAGTAACTGTTGAGCTCCACAGAAACTACACCAGAAACTACAACAGGAACTCCCCAATAAAGTTGCACTGTATTGTCCTACAATATTTAGGTATTTCTACAGCTTTTCTAACTAATTTAAAAAGAACACATTGCCTGGGTCTCAAAAAAATCACCTGAACTAAAGTCTTTGTTATCAGAGTTATTACCTGCTTTCAGGTATATATTAGTTTCTTGTCTTCCCAAGGAGACAAAGAATTAAAAATATATAAAGTAATTGCTACAGAGAAGTTATGAAATAATTCTGTTTAAGATAAATTTTTTAAAAACACAACATTATTATTATTGGAAACTTTTCAGCAACACCATGCTGCAGGTGAAAAGTATGAGAAATCAAAGGATGTTAAAGAATTTATCATAGTATCATTTTAATCTGTTTACCCACTATACAGTATACCGTTCTGAGGTTGAAATTCTTATTGAAGGTGTCAAATGAAAATTCAAACTATGGTAACTTTAAATTACAGTAAAGTATCTGATGAAAGAAATCCTGATTTTCCAATTTAATTTAAATAACCCACAATGTTATAATTTTTTTCTATGTAAGTCAACAGATACAAGCAGTGAAGTACCAGTAGAAGTGCATCAGAAAAACAAATAAGAAATAAGGAAACTGTTCAGAAGTGGGCAAGCAGTAAAATAAATCAAAACAACACACAAACAAAGAGCTGGGCAGCATTACCCAATGAAAGCATAATAAAAGACATTTTCTAGATATTAATTATACTGAATTGTTTTTTTAATCAGTGAAAGGGTTGAAGGCTCTGATAATTCATGCAATAGAAAATATCTAAATCTTACTAAAGAGATTGGAATTACTGCTAGTTGTACTAATGCTGCACTGATTCCATACCTTGGAAGACCGAAAACAAAATGCTGTAGATTTTACATCCGCTTTCTCTTTGTCTGTAAGAAGAAGACTCTTGTCATCCAGGAGACTTAAATATTTTCCTGTCGTTATATGTCTGAGTCTGAACGGCTGTCCCCATCTAATGTGGCTGCCACTCCACCTAAGACAGTGCATAGGAAATGTTCAGGTTTTTTTTAAAAGAAAACATAGAGTTTAACTACTGGCAAAAGTATTTTAAAGTACATTATAGTGCCAACTAGTTGGTAAAAGGCTGAAATCTAAATGCTGGATTATCAATGAGAAAAGGGCTACTTTGTGGTTATCTCCTATAAAAGCATTCTAATAAATAACCTTAACCTCTTCCTTTGCGCAGGCTGCCCTGGTTCAGACCAAATTCCTCTTGAGAGGAGATACACACCACCTACAGAAAAGGAGGCTTCTGCTGCACACAAGAGCTTAGATCTGCCAGTTCCCCCTCCAACTTTTCATCTACCAGCAGCCAGGTTTGTTCACTCTTCCAGAGCACTCTCCGTTCAGCAGTCAGCACAATTCAGGCACACTGAATAGTGTGCAAAAAAATAAAATAGCAAAATAAATAAATTAAAATCCTCATAAATTTTAAAAATTATTACGCAAAGATTGGCCCAGATTATTCATATTATATAGGAGGAAATGAAGGAAGAAAGGCAAAGATTTTCTATCTAAGCTCCCCAAGAACTCTTCTTGCCTTAAACTGAAAAGTCAACTCTTCTGTTCTTCCTGATTAAATCCTGAAGACAACCTTGTGTAGGGGTTACTAAGGAGAATGCATTTCACAGAGCCTTTTCATAAGGCTTCCTGAATATTCCTTAGATTAGACAATTGCCACAGCTAGGATGTTTTCCTGGATCTTCACAAAACTTTCTTCAGTCTTATATCTTCAAAAATGTACACTTTAGATGTATGTGCACACTGCTTTTTGGAAAGGAAATCACGTATTTGTGTTTGCAAAATGCCCATCATAATGGAGTTATGACATACTACCAAGGTTCTAATGTGCTTCCACAAATACTAGTAATTCTCTGTGTTTACTGTGGCTTAAAATAGCTTAAAATTATCAACAAATGTTCACATAATATCAATGAAATATACAAACACATCCTTATGAACTTAACCTGATTACAAACTTACTCCCAAATCAGAATTTTGTATTACTGAATCTTCTCGCTTGCATTTAAAGTAATTCCAGGTGCAGCATTTAAAAAACAAAGTTTTTATGCATTTCTTTTGTATTATTCATGTACTAGCGTGAAAATCCCTTAAGCAAGCACCTACACAGGTTTGTCATTTTTGTTTTCTTTAACACGTACCTGTAGCAGATTAAAGCACTTACCTAGTCAATACAAATATCCATTTGCTTAAGCAAGTCTTCGTAAGAGTTGGCTCTATTGTATGCAAAGTATATAAAAACTTCTATTTTTCAAGTACAGGAGTTCGTAAAATGCAAGAGCAATACCTGGCTTCTGTTTTGTAACAGCCTTTACTACACTTCACTAATTAAACTTATTTTTAGTTATTGGTTTTAAAGAGGCCAAAAGAATGAAGAGGTTTTCCCTTAAACTATTTTCTTTTGTAAACTAAATAGTCTCTTCTATTTGAGCTGAGGGGAGAGTACTTTGGGGAAGAAGAAAATATGGAAGCTTTGTATCTTAGAAATGCATTTATTTTTTTCTGCCTTCTGACACAGCAAAGTCAGTATACTCCACAAAAGCACATCTAAGTATCAGTGTTCTAGCACAACTTGTGCTTCTCAGTTAAGTGAAATGTCAGGTCATAAATCTCAGCTCTTTTGTTGCAGGGTCTGGTAAAACACGAGCTGTACGCATTTCATATTGTGGGCCATGCTGGGGAGCTGCCTTTTCTCTAGTCTGATTCAATTTTCTCTTGGACCCAAGAGCTATGGACCATAAGAAAAAGAAAATAATAAATGTAGTGCAATTGAGTCATGCCCCTAGTTTATGCCTGCAGGATAGGAAAAAGGACAGTTCAATGTGCATTTACAACAAAAACCTTTTGACCAGAAAGTATCTCGTGAAGCCATTTCTGACTAGTAAAAATTCCGTTCTGCAATGTGAGGTTATGATCCCTGTCACCTTTTGGGAAAGAAAGCAACGCTGAGCAATAGCATCTGGCATCCCATAGCAGTGCATCCCAAGAGACAGTCTGCACATGCAGATTGCCTAGGCAATTTTTATCAAGCATTCTCTGCTGATGAGGAGAATTCAGAAGCAATGATTCCTTCAGAATCATATAAAATTAACAGAATTAATATTATATCTGCAGTCATTCTGGGAAGGACTAGAACTGATGGAGGACTTCGGGCATGCACGTGCTAAGTTACAGACTGAAGTATTTGCATGAATAGCAATGTGCCTGCAATTCAGCAATGAATGTATATAGCTATTACAGTATCATACAGGAAAACAGGGAGGGGAGGGATGTGTAGGAGAGAGTGTTATTCTTGCGATTTGGGGGGGGGGGGCAAGGGGGAAGGAGTGGGGAGGATGTCCTGGTAAGAAAGTCCTGTTCCTTGAAAAGAAAGATTACTGCTGCCTTCGCTTTGTTGTTTTGACAGTTCTCACAATTTCTTTCAGTCATATATGTTCAAATGTTTACACTTCAAAATTCTGTCTACAATGCCAAAGTGAGATGTATGATAGTTGTAACAGCAACCTGCAATTTCTCAAATCCCTATGTTGCTCCAGTACCACTGTTTGTTAGGGAAGTACATGCAATGAGGAAAATAAAAAGCCACAGATCCTTCCACAGTTTCACTGTTGTCCCTTAAGCATTCCCAAGGTCAGTGTTAGTCCAAAGCAAAAATCTCACTGCCGTATCAATGACATTTAACATCGTCCTATTAAATAAAATGCACAAATAGAAAACAGCCTCATTAGAGTGTAATCTTTCCTTAAGCTGCCCTGACTTAACCTCTAAAAAGCAATCATTGATTAGTCCCTAGAAATTTTATCACAAGCACATATTGTGATACAATTCAAGTGAAATTTTACAGTGCAAATACCTTAACAAGGCACAGTTCCTTACTACCATTCCAACACTCATGCAAGGTAGCATTTTTTCTGTAAATTTTTGCCTTTAAGGACATCCAGATGGCTTAAACAAGTTAGGGGGTGGCACACATCAATCATTATAATCACAACTGTTTTCCTTAAAAAATGTCACATGTATGTGTAAAAAAGGTAAAGTGGGAATTGACTGACAACTTCTAAAAAATAATCAAAACACAGCATGTGTGTTAACTTGCACACTCTACAGGAAGTTGTTTAATATTTCACGGAAGTGTTATAGAGTAGTTTTTGAAGGTTATTTTGGTATTAACTGTCTGGTTTTATAGTTATCAATCTGATTTTATAGGAATACTCTTACTATAGAAAAAGTGCCCTGCCAAACTGCCTTTTTTTTCTGAAAAGGATTTTACTTACGCAACTCTTAGAGTCTCTAGTCGCCAAAGGGAACGAGCATGAATTGACACCGCACCACCTTCATAGTGGACAGTTCTGAAAACCAAGCAAATGCACAGACTAAATGCTCAGCTCTGTTGTAAGAATTCATAATACTTAGCTGTTCACTTAACTACATCTCTCAGTTGAAGACCATCAAGACAATTATTGTAAGTGACAGATTCAAAGGTTATCACATTCAAAACTAGCTCTTATCAATGAAAACTTCAGACCTAGTTACTCAAAAAAAAATTATTTTCATTGTCTTTAGCATCCAATATTGTGATATGCATAACAATGAGAATCATACAGTGTTTGCTTAGACATCTTTCTTAATGTTTTAAGCATAGAGAATCCAGAGGGGAAAAAAATGGGGGGAAAAAAAACCCTGATAATTACAACATTTCTAGGTTTTAACAAAAACCAAATATAAAATGATGATAAAGATTTGTGATCACTCATACATCTCATAAGAAAGGTAGTGTTTTCTCAGAGCTTATACTGTTAAAAAAAACATGAAAGTTATTACACTGAATTATGAAGTCACCTATTTGGCAGTGTATTTTATTATCATAGCACCTGAAGTTTCACAGCCACACTGATGCAGTCTTCACACAGCTCAGATGTTAACAGCTTCTTATTTCCAAATTTTAGTATGTAGTGACCCCTCTAGTTCCTGCATATATCCAGAAATCTGAGTGTTTCTAAAAATCAGTCAATTGAGTCTAAAAAAAGGTTGGGTTTTTTTCCTCCATTACTCTAAGCACAGATAAGTGATATACATGGTTTAGATTTTGTGGTCACCAAAACCCCTGCGTTAGGTAACCTGGCTTTTCTTCAAAGCAAACGCTGAGGAATGTGGTGCATATGAAGCACTGCCACTCGAGATTTCGGCAGCTGTTCTTCGGACTGCTTCCTGCCTGCACCTTCGTTTCTGCCCTAAGACACTGCCAGAATCGAAAAACTAGGTCTTTCCTTTGGGAAAATGAATAAAGGAGTCACTTATGCAAAGGTGTGCTGTCACTGCGCTTATCAGATCAAGTGTCTCAGGAAACACTGACAAAGAATGGTCTAGTTTTATGGATCCTGGAAAAGCTTACGGATTGAGTAAATACTGTGATCTTCAGCCAAGATCAGTCACTGCCAAAAATAGCCAGAGGCATAACTTTAGGGAATATAAATATTGAAATTGTAGGCATTTCCCACTGTTTGTTAGAAACAATTTTTTTTTTAGGACCACAGTTTTGAAATCAGGTACCTAGTACTTACTAGGCTTTCGCTTACGAATTCCTCCGGCAGATATAATACAGATGGACTGAATGCTTAGCACAGAGAAAAACCCAGCATGGAAAGAGATGGTTAAAAACCAAAAGAAACTTTTCAGTACTGTTAACAACACATGAAACTGCAGCTCTTCTAAAATACATCATGGAATATGCTAAAACATGTTAAGGAAACAAACACTCCCAGACTGCAAAGTGAATGAAGACAAATTATACAGGGGAACAAGTGAGTCAAAATACAAAATAAATATTGCTCACTACAATTACAGAACCACTCACACTGAGTATTCGCGACCCACGTATAAATAGAAACTCTGGCACATGCCTCACGTACCGAAGAGAAGTTATAGGCACATATACAAACACGTGCGAAGAAATCCTCCCCTTGGCCTTATATCCAGTATTTTCTCCACGTATCATCTTAGTCATGTGCTGCAACGGTTGTGGTGCTAACAGCAGCTGACAGGCATTAGTAAGTCTCTCCTCTCTCCCACAGAAGGCAGTGAAGTTCCGAGTCAATCTTATTTTTTATTGAAATTGACCTTCATTACTATAGTAATGAATCAAAATGCAATCAAAATGCAAATGCTAAACAACCTTGCATTCAGCTGCTTCTCTGTTCAGACACTCTCTCTTCTCTTCAGGTATTCGTTCAGTTTTTTGTTCCGCAACTAACAGACTGGGTTTATGTCGTAACATCTGAACAGTAATAGATCAGATGCCACCCTGGTTGGTTTGTTTGGGTGGGAGTGTGTTGGTTTGGTTGTTTGAGGTGGGGCTTTTTTGAGGGGGAGGGGTGTTTTTATTGGTTTGTTGGGGGTTTTTTTAAGTCAAAACGTTCCGATTACATCCTGGCCTATTGCGATATGAACCTCACTGACAAAAATGCATTTGGAATTCCTGCACTCACACAATAAAAAACTTAACAATTTTATTCATCAGTTTTCAAGTCATTAAACATACTAGAAATCAGGTGGAAGATAAGGTTTAAATTAATAAGAATACTTGATTTTTAAGGTGGTACCTTGCCACTTTTCAGAGATTAAGTTCTTCCTCACACTGGAAACCCAGAAGCTGTCACCAGTTTCTGAGTCTGAGCACCCTTTGGAAGCCAGTTTTGGATTACACATAGCATGTGGATCACTGTAATTTTAAACATCTAAAAAGCCTCCCAGTTCAGTGCTGAAAAGGAAGTACGAGTCCTAACATTTTAAGCTATAGCAGATACTGATACCACTAGGTCAAATGAAACATTGCTTTTAATGACGCGTGAATAATCTACAAAAACTCTCTGACTCTCAGTTACTACAGATTTACATTGATAGGATGGAAAAAATAAAATTTCAAGTTGCGAAGTGCACAGAAGATGCACATTACTTGCCAAACAGTAGAGAAAACCTGCATATTGCAAAAAATTGTTATGAAATTATAAATGATGTAAATGCATGAGGGAAGTACAAATAACAGCAGAAAAAGAGAGGGCAACAAGAGCTGCAACGAGTGTTAGTCTTCCCCTAGAAAGCTCGGGATACCTCATACCTTCTGAGCCATACCCATAACACTAATTCCTGACATTTTATTTTCATTCTTTCCGAAACACTTTATTTGCATATTCTACACTTACAGAGTAAGGATAGCAACCACTTTTATTTCAAACTAAAATATCTACAAGGCATTCAGAACCTTTGAGAATTTTCAGTTCATCTTTACTATAAAACTTGATCTACTTATTTAGATGGTGGAATGAAGTCACTTTTTGTCTAAGTTAAATTTAGAAACATCATTCCTCTCCTAACTATGGCATCAATCTATTTAACCCCCCTTACTACAAACAGTCACTCCACTTGCCCCTGGCCGCTGGAACTTGCCCACCCCTGGTCGCACAGCAGTTACAGCACCGAGCACAGTGCAAGCGCCCGTCCCGCGCCCAGGACCAGCGAGCAGGGCGCTGACCGCGCTCTCGCCGGCATATGCATCCCTAGCACGCTCCTCTAGCTTCCCCAGATGTGATGAGGAGGCAAAGCGGTGGTAGACATCAAAAAGAAAGCTTGATACCGGAATCACTCCTCTCCAATTTACAATGATGAATTAATGACACGGGTTTAAAATAGACTACCATGTATGAAAACCCCTGGAGAGGCATTATTGAATTAATAGCCTTATTAAAGTATTGTTGAGCAGAGAGAGGAAAATCATTTCACCGAAATTTACAGACTACAAATGGGCATTAAATGAGGTTAAAATAAATTATATTAAATGACAGTGTTTCGATATTGCTGAAGTAGTCCTGATTCAAGTACCTGTAAAACTTAAGTTCCATAGCAAGGAAATAATGGAATTAAACTCAGTAACTTAGAATGAATCAGGGTGCCAAAAATATAACATAAATAACAACGTTGTACCTGGATTACACACAAATTAATAAATCCAAGTAAGATGCCAAAGTTCAAGTTCAAGAAATTGTTCCACTCCCTTCAATGACAGGCAAGGCTGTTCTGTTTTAAACTTGAAAAATCAATCACTAAAGAGCTCTATGGATTTTTTCAAATTCATTTATAAAAGCACAGCCATTACTATTCAAGGCTTGTGGGTTGTTTTGTGCGTGGGGGAAAGGTTATTGATTTATGCTGGGTGAAAACTTTCTGAGTTCACGTTCCAAGCATGAATAACCCTTCACAGGCACCAGATGCCAGCCTTTCTGGGGTACAACAGACCTCACTAGTTCATAATGCCATATCAAGGGCTGTATTTTACCTGTCTAAAGAGGTTAAAAAAAAAAAAATTGTCACAATTTCAAGAGGAAAAGATGCCAAATGAAAGAAAAGACCATTTCAAGGTATCTGTAATATAAACAGTGATTTAAATCTTCTGCTGGATAATCATATACAACCCTCCACCCAAAACAGAAGTACTAAAAATTAATCACAAATTTTTCATGTATGAAACAGGAGGAAAACGGTGTAAAAGGAGATTATGCAATCCTTTACTTCAAGACAAAAATACATAAATCAAGGAAACTCTCGTGGGTCTGCCTCATTCCTATACGTACAACTGACAGACTGCTTCTGTCGGCTCATACCTTGGGAGCCCAGCCACAAGCCTGGCAGAGAGGGTTGGAAAAGGTGTCAAGATGAACACAGACTCCCAGCTACTGTGCTGCTGCAGAAGTCTCCCCCGGCTTTGAAGGTAAATAGAATCAAAGTAACTACCAGAAGAACAGCAAGTTGATTATACTATGCCTTCTCTTGCATACCTACACCTGTATTTACTTTTTAATCTACCTGGAAATGCTTCTGAAATTTGAAGAGCTACCGAAACAACACTGCAAATTTAGGTCTAGCTTGCAATAGGCATTTTAAGTAATAAAAACACAGTTTAAGGATTCTATGCACAAGGCTTTCAACACTGTCCTTAAACCAGCAACATATCCAACTGGAATGTGCAGTAATTTTATTTAATTCAGTGAAATTGCACATACTTAACCTTTTACCTGTTCCTTTTTTTGTTCTTTATCTGGGTCATGCCCTCGCTGGCTGCGGTGCTTTAAAAACAATACCACTATTTTTTTTCTAGTGTAATACCAAGTAAACTAACATATTACCACAAACATCTCTATTTGCACTGCTTCCAACTGGAAGGTTTTTTAATTACAAAGCAAAGTAGGTCTAGCAATTTCAGGGAGAATCTACTTGAAACTGCTTCCCAAGGAAAAATACATTTCTGAGTGGCTAGGAGTCCTCCAGCCTAGAAACGTCTGTGTGGTGAATAAGCCACTACAATTATTAAAACTTGTTTTAGGGTTTCTGATTTCAGCTAGATCTTTTTCGGAAAACCAAAAAATTAGTTCAGGCAATAAAATCCTATTTTACTATTTTGCTTGAGTTACTACTGCAAGAACCTGTTTAAATCAGTTCTCCGAGTCTCCCACTAAACAAATACTCAAAGTAGTCATAAACTATTTACCGTTCAGAGGTGTAATCTTTGAACAATGTCTCACCTGTGTTACATCAAGAGTCAGGTATCGCTACAGAAAAGACAGCGTTATCAGATTTCTCAGCAATTGTGACCAAATTCAGCTGGATAGCAGCAACAGACCAACCCTCCCAGGTACCATCTTCACTGGGAATTTAAATGCACCAAGACACCACAGCCTTGGCAATAGGTAGCCCAGGCACTTTGCCTCTATGCTTACCCCCACCGCACACCTGCATCTGCGGCTGCCGGGGCAGAAGGTAAGTGCCACTGAGACACCACCACCACTGCGGGCAGGGCAGGATGGAGGAGGCAAGGGAGGAGCCACTGCTCTAGCAGCCTGCAGCCCCATGGCAGCACCCTTTCCTTCCAGAATTGAGGGGCCATGGCCAGAAGACAGTACAGAGTGGGCTGTGCATGCAAGAACCAACACTATGGCTACCCATTACTGGCCAAAGGAGCTTTCTGGATCTCAGTTCTTGGAGGGAGGGAACAAAATTCTCCTCCTAACCAGTCTCTCACCTCGGGCAAACACCTCCTTTGCCTTTGTCAAAAGTTGGCCCTGAACATTGCTCTTTTTCCACTGCTCACTGTGGTACTGAGTGGTGAGATGCAATTGCAAAGTCCCTCTTCCAACAATACAATGATTCCACCCTACCTTCTGGTGACCGTGGTAGCACAACTGAAGGACCACATGGAGGGACACACAAGCTCAACAATTAAGCAAGGAAAAACAGTATTAATTCAGAAAAAATTGTGAGAGACAGAAGAGAATTTTGTAAGCTTTTTATATGATTATTTCTGCCACTGTATTAGACCTCTTCCAGTGCAGATTTGGATGACGTTGCCTCAGAGGAAGCTTTGTTAGATACTGTAACCATGAACACATATCTGCACTGTCACTGTATCACAGGTCTCCTCTGTGCTAAATGCTGTTCCACAAGAGCATAAACAGCCTGAGAATGTGTGTTTTATTTTGGACTTCTGGTAATCTTTGAAAACTTTTATACTCAAATTTATGTAACTGCATCAATGCTTTCAGAATAAAGAAAAAACAGCAGTTATTTTTAGAAACTACCTAGGAGGATCCTTCACATCAAAACAATTTATTCATTCCCGGAATTAGATACCAGGTGACGTTATAGAATAAAACTTATTTTACGACTGTCTGATCTCTTATTTATTTTAAAATGCACAAAGAGGAGGGCTTTGCAGGAAAATAAAAATGAGATAGAGGAATTAGTGAGTCACAACGGCGATGGAACTTCTCAATGTTTCTTTATGCTGGTATCCTGCAGAGCAGAGCTGCTCTTCAGGCATATCCTGGAGCAAAACAAGCCAAGCATAACCACAATAATCTAGCACCAGGCTATTTCAAAAGGCAATGAATGGATAATATGGAATTATTATACTCCAAATATATGATACTTTACCATGCCTTATGTGCAAGAGTTATGGAACTTAAATTAAAATGAAAGATAAAATAATTTATCTTACAATTTCCTACCTGCCAAATTACCCGTATTTTTAAATATAATTCTACCAGCAGTTAAATACCACCCATCAAAATAAGGTATGCATACATACTGAAAACTGAAAGGAGACACAAATTATCCTTTTAAATATTATGTTGAATAGGCAAGAGCCCTAATTAGAGATAGAAGTATAGAGGTTTTAAGCAATACCTGAATTTACTAATAATTTAAGAGAAGAAAGTGTGGGGCACAGAGTGATTATACCTAACTCCATAAAATTAAAAATAATCATAGATTATATTCTAGGTTTATAAGTAAAAATCATTAAAAATATTTCAGAAAAGCAATAGAAGAACTTCAGAAAAGGAGACATTTCAGAAGATCAAATCTGGTTTTTATGAAGCACTGAGAAGCAACGTTTCTCAGTATTGCTATCAGGAAATATAAAGACAAAGACATAGGTACTATTTGTTGTCTACTAGCTCTGCTTCTTTTGCGGTACTAGACAGATAGGGGACATGGTAGACACACTGCAGAAAGAGTAATGATCAGGTCTGTTTACAGCACTGGTCTGCAGCTTAAGAAATGAACCCTGTTCTTCCCGCGTTACAGGACACAAAGATGCATCATCTGAATGCACAAGCAGATCGAATGAATTTTTTCTTAACTTGCAGCTTCGTGCTCCTTTATTGTGGTTTATGGATAATGTTAGCCTTGTTGAAAAGAGCCAGATTTTTAGTGCGTGCTTAAGCACTACAATTCATTACTGAAGTGCTTGATCAACCCTATAAATCTGCAGTTACACTGCAACTAGAATTTTTAAAAATAATTTTGCAGGATTTAGACTGTAAGAGCTAAAGAGCTCTTTAGGTAAGAGCAACCACCATACGAACCTATTTATTTAGCATCTTATTGTTTCATCACTTTCAGGGTGAGGATAATAATAGCAGCAATAAACTCCAAGCTGCAAGGGATCTATTACATAGTGACTAAAATTAAAACATGAACTGATCAAATTTTAAGTCTAAGCATTTTGAAATATCTTCTGTGTTCAAAAACTATTCCTTTGTCTAAAAATGAGAAATAGCCAGGAAGTGGTTGGTTAGCAGCTGTATACAAAAACGCTGAAGTTTTTCTCATTGGTATTTAAAAATTCATAGATGATTTTTGCTATATTTTATGAGAGCTTCCAGTGTCTTGTTCTTATCTTTACAAGTAAGAATAAAACAGAATGAAAAATACATTTCTATTTGCAAACCAAGAAAACTCATTTGGAAATTAATGAATAGCACTTTCTTTGTCATGGAAATTAAGCTACCCAATATGTTGCATTACACAAACTATTCCAAAATCAACATTATCATTTAACAATCTTCAGGCTGAAGTTAGGAATAAATCATATGACACGGCCCTACTGAAAAGAAGCTGAGCGTATATTTTATTAGAGCAAATATACAGGACTTTGTTTCATCCACAGAATCACTTCACTGAGACATGCCACTTTCAGTGCCAGTCTTCTCACCATATTTAACTAAAAGACACACATATCAAGCTGTCATCACTCCTCTACTGTCATTCTAGTCAAGAAAATAACCGTAAGTTAAGTTCTAGACTACCACGACAGGTACACCTGAGATCAATATCCAGATTTGTAGCCTTGCAGGACTGGACAGTAACCTTAACATGCCCTGTCCTGAGGAATTTTTTGTAATTACAGAAAAAAAAGAGCAGTAACGAAAAGAACATACTTCATTCACAGTGTTTTTTAGTCAGTAAAGACGACAATAAGTTATCAAAAAATCACAATTGCTTTTACACCTGGTAAATGAAATCAAGCTTGAACAATACTTAAAAGAGAATGCAAGAAGCTCATGTCCAAAGTTAATTTCAACAATATTCCTTCTTATGAGTGATACATCTCATCACAATATCCTTCAAAAATCTGTACTCTGAGTGACACTTAATATTGATTCAGCAACATCTGTTACTATTCTGTTAAGCTGGAAACCTACCTCCTTTGTTCTTCTCCGTGTTCACCCGAAGGGACTGTCAAACATTCATCCATGTGACCGTGCAATAACCTCAGAACATCCCCTCCTATCAGATATCCTTGAATAAAGGAAGAAAATCAAATGTATTTGTCTGAACACAGCAACATATAAAACTATAGTTCAAGCTGTAATAAATACTATCAGTTTTATTTCCTTTTTTCTGATGGTATTTTGTGTTATTTAAAAAGAGAGTCGGAAGAAGAAGGAGATCTCTCGTACGCTGGGGAGCCAGCTGAACATTGCCAAATGAGAAAAGGTCCAAGTAAGATCTGCAAGTAAGAAAGGGTGGATCAGGAGAAAGAGAGCAACAGACAGGGGATTCTACAGAGTTAGTGCAACTCCGAAGACGACTGATCCAACAGAAGCCAGGAAGCAAGTACTTCCCTCCCAGATTACAACAGAAAAAGTGGGACACTCTTCCAGTTTACCTACTCACTTTTGGGTTTGATTTAAGTCAACGATTCCAGTTTATATACTAACAAAGCAAAGATTGAGTTAGTTAAAGTTTAAAAAACTTTTTGGTGTCCTTGGAAGTTTTCTGTGAGAAAAACTTCTGGGAAGATCCACTCTAAGCTCTTGCTTGGCTTAAGATTCCAAACCTACAAATCACGATTTATTTTGACTCCTATACTGCCTGTACCTCCACTGCACATGCAGGTTCAAAGACAAACAGTTGGCTCTACAGTGTACAAGTACAGATACGTGTTCACAAACTAAGGCACAGAGCATACACGTAGCACCACAATATTTGAAGAGCCAGGACATTGCAGCCGGAAGCTGAAAATAAGGCCATAATTCTAATCACTAAAATATTAACAAAGTAGATGCTTTTTTGTCAGTCTTTTTGCATCAGAGATGTGACATTAAAAGGAAATATAATTTTATGTTATCCTACAAATATCGTATTATAATCTAGTAAGTGAAGAATACTAAGACTTAGTAGATTTTAAGTACAATTCAATGGTATTTTTTCAGCCTGACAAGCTAAACGTAACCGCTTGTTTGTCTCCTAAAATCGTCTTCATTTCTTGCTAGAACTGGGTAATATCAAATTCTGCATTTGAGCAGGATATAGTAACATAAATCCTTGGGCTCAGTGTTACAACAAAAAGATTTTTAGAAAAATATTACTGGAATAATATTTTGAAGCTATGTCTGTATTAACAAGTACTGCTGCGCAGGAAGACACATCTGTAAAGGGAAATGGTGTTGAAGACCCACCAGCCACACTGTACACATTTCACAGGTTTCTTTTGAACCTACAGGAAATCTTTTTCCTGAGTATATATCAGGGAATATTTCAGGATATATTTTTTAAACCTTGGAAATCAATATCAAATTAGTATTTCTGTGGCCAATTTTAGCACTGAATTTTTAAATTCTTGGTTTTAACACAGAGGAGTATGTCCAGGTAACAGTAGTTATATATATTAATTCTTACATGGAGCTGTGTCAACATAATTCTGGAGATGCTCTGCCCTGAGTAGCTTTCTGGGGGTTTGTTTTGGTTTTAAAGTGCCTCCCCGCATCCCGCCCTCCAGTACAGAACTAGCAGAATTACTTGATCTGCCTCTCAAACTCTGTTTTGACTTAAACAATAAACTGACTTCTGCATAAGGTGGTTTTGCAGAAATGCACGTAAAAAGAAATCATTTTAACTACCTCCCTACAATATCCTAGTTCGTTACACAGGTTATTTCTCCATTATTTTCACTTCAAAGCAATTTCATTTAACTGAAGTGTTTCACTTATTTATCTAATTCTAAAGGGAAGTTTTGATTAAGAGAGGATATTGTCATATAGTTACTCCTAACACTAACGTTTTGTTTATTAAGTTGACAAAGCATTTTGCAGATACTAACAAAATTAGCTTTATTTTCCTCTTCCCCCTTTTTGAAGTAATTTTCTCGCTAAGTGTCAGATTCACTCTCCCTCTACAAGAAGACAACTTTGATTACAGGAGCATTTGCTGGTTTTGCTAGAATAAGACTTTTGCTCTAATTCTTTCTGACACCAGTTGGCTGATCTTCTCTAGAAAAGACACTGCTTAACAAAGATGATTTCTATACCTGAGAAAAGTGAAAATGGAAAGGCATAGCAACAAAGAACAAGCAAATACACAGAGAAATGCACAGCTGCTAAAATCATGTGACATCATTTTCACATGACTGAGCAGGTATGAGTGCGTAACACAATCCTATACTCTGTCATTGTGGAGTTCTGCTTCCCAAACAGCCAGGCAGGTCTCACGCGTGAGGTTCATCAACTAGACAGATGCGGCACAACACAAATCTGGGTCTCAATTAATAAACTGTACTGGGATTATTAACAGGAATAATCACACCAGCACACCAGTGCTGCCAGCAGTGGGAGGACAAGGAGAATGGAGTTTATCGGAAGAAGCAACAGGTTGGAGAGGAGAAGGTTTTCTCCTCTCATCAATAGAAAGCTTTTCTCCATGAAGTTTAGGACACTGTTAAGCAATGCACCAGCATTTTTTTAATAATGGATTGCACTGGAAACCACGTTAGAGAATCTGAACATGCAGAATGATTCTCATAATCTAAAAAACAGAGCTTATATAGAAAGAAGGTCTTGGTAATGCTGTCCCTGAAAACTGAACGAGCAAAGCTGCCAGAGCATTCCACATTGTGTTTTAAAATGTGCCCGATAAAAAGAACTGATGTGAAATTTCAGTCTATTGCATTTTCAATAGACTGGATTAACTCCCCAACACCAAAAAGGCCCAGGGAGTAAGAAAGAAAGGACGTGCAGTTTTAACATTTTTAAGTTTCTATTACAATACCTACTCAAAATAATTATTCTGTAGCAAACAAGAAGCCTTTAGGCATTACATTGTGACAGACTTTCCAGAAGACAATTGTTTTTTTTCTTCTCTGTGGAACCAGCATGGCATAAATTCAGGGGTCCTTGTCCTTTCATGTCAGATGTTGCTTTAAAAAAAAAGGCAACCTTCCTAGTTCCTAAATAAAATAAATAAATTTTGAAACTTGTTCTAGCCTGGCTGTCTTTCCCCTCCTTTCGATTTTCTTCCCAGCCATATGCTCCCCACAAAACTATTTCCAGTCTTAACTCCTAGGATTTCACATCCTGCTTCCAGTTCTCTCGCCCATTTTTTACTCAGTCTTAGGAACACGTAACTATGACTGCATACATCAGAATATCTGAGATAATATTTTAAACCAGGACCAAAAGCCATAAAAAAAAAAATATTATGAATGTTATCATACCTTTAGCAAAATGAGATTTGAATGATCTGTTCAGCCTTTAGAAGAAAATATTTAGAAAACTATCAGTGTCACTTTCAGTATAACTTTCCCTCTGTTTTGAGAATATTTGTATACTTATTTATTGGATTTAATGTTTACATAAGAGAAACCAACTCCCACATTTGGCAGAATAATGTGATTTTTCAGCTATTTCATTTACAATCAGTCTCTCAATCATTAAAGTTGAGTCAATCTTACCTTGGGCAACTTCACTTCCTGAACTGATTGGTGCTACACTCCAGAGGGTTTGCTGGAAGGCTGCATCAACATGTAAGCTACCATTGCCATAAGAGAGATGCTAAAAGCAGGAAAAAGAGAGGCTTTTATTTGGAGTTAATTAAAAATCTCATCACAGTATACAACAGCAGTAGCAAACATTCTCATTTCTTTCATACATATTTTTTTCCTACTGGTTGTGTAAGTAAACACAAAGTCAGACCTGGGTACTCTTCAAGGGATGTTAGAAACAAAGCTGGAATAGTAACAGCATCTTTGCCTCAGAAAGCCATACAAAATTGGCACAGAATGGTCAGCTGTTTGGGATCTTAGACCATAGCAAACACTCTGAAGAACCGATTATTAAATGCTGCAGGGTTCTTACACTGGTCTTCTTCCTTCCATATGCAATGAGGTTTCCCACAGTTTTAATACTGGGATGTGACATTAGTCTGTATTTCAAGCATAACTCGCCACTTAATTATTTGTTGTGGGCCACTGGCTTCCTAAAACTGCCATCAGATCAAAGAAATCAAATAATCAAGTAATGTGATTTTGTAAGGCACTTAAGGGAGTTCCCAAAATGTGTTCTTGCACAAAGTTTTCATGAGCGAAGCAAATCTGAAATGACCTTTCCCTGAAAGGCACGCTTCCTCCCTAAGCACTCAACGGATGCTCTTCTTTTACTCTGTTACTCCTGCCAGTGTTGCAGGTCTTTACAGTGAGTGGCAGAGGTGCTTTCTCTTCTCAGAATTCTTCGTGTGTGTGTGTGTGTTCCAACTAGTTCAGTGACATTATTGTCACAGAAAATCTAATCTCAAGGCATATTATATATCGCATCCATGCAAAATCCTTTGTCCCACACTGTCAGTCGGTTCCATTAATATGCTGTTAGTGCCAAGCAACATAACATTACATAAGATTATGGAACCAAGTGTTCTATAAATAAGCAGCTGCTTTGAAGTTTACCGTTTATCCTACCAGGTAATAATTTTTCAAGTGCAGTAACATTTAGACACTTTTATCAAAACTTTAAATTACTGGCAAGTAACTGTGTTTACACAGCAGCATTGGTCTGTTTCTGTACGTCGTGACCAAACGAACACCTCCTAGGTAAAACTATTAAATATGCAAAAGACAAAAATGACAAGGGATGTCAGAAGGGGGTAGATTCCCAGTGACATGGGCAGAGTCCGTCTGTCTCCCTGCCTGCACATCTTCTAGCTGTCCAGTGGTACAAGAAATAGCGCATCGGCTCACTCAGAGGGCTCCCACAACAGGCAGTGGCATACAAAGTCAGAGTTCGCACAAAAGCCACGCTTCCGCTGCACCAGCGTCATTTGGCACACGTAATGGAGGATGTTCAGTGAACAAACCACCACGTCACCTCTTATTTTCCCCTTACTGCAATTACATGACACAGTCAGTGGCAGACCAGGCTGAGAGACTGCAACCCCCAGCACACCTCCAGTCCCATTCTTGCCCTGCGGGCCTTAATTTTGTTAGCTTTCTTCTGAGATCGCGACACAGATTCTACTTAGGGACAATGAGGAATTCAACCAGTACAGGGAAGCAGGAGTATTACTTTTTTCAGAAAAACATGTCATTTGGGCTAGGCAGAAGAGGAAGAGGATAGATAACTCCTCTGTCATTTAGATCTGCCATCGCCAGACCACTGTGTGCTTTGTACAGGTTAATGAACTTATTTTCATACACAATTGCATCAGCTGACTCAGTGTTCCATTTTATAGATTGGACATTGAACAAAAATACATTGCTGACATCTCTCTTCAGAGAAACTGTTATTTTTATCCATTCATTTGACTCCAGTTGCAGCTCTGATTATAACCCAGATGTCTCAAGCTGAGTCACCAGAGAATTATTTCTTTAAAAAGTATGGTTTAAATGACCTAATACAACACATGACCACCACAGCAGAGAAATCAAGTATATCTTTGCAATTCTCTTCTTTCTTCCACTTCCCTAGATCGCTTGCTGCATCCTCCAATTTACAATTGAATGCAGGGGTCCTGATACCTACAATTCGGTAAGATATGGTGTTCACACCCTGAATATCATCCATAACAAAGAATAAAATGAAGCTTTGACCATGTAGTGGAAGTACTCTGTCAACGGACATTCAAGGCTTTAATTACATTAAATGTATAGAAAAAACCCCAACACAGATTAGAAATGCCAGTCTTAATCCTGCCATTGATGAACTTTTCAGTGCTATACTTAACAATCTCAGTGTTGTTTTAAAGCAATCTGCTGCCTGTCTGTAACTTATCTGGAGTTTATCTGCTTGGTTTTGTACTTTCAGCACAACACAACTATAAAAATGAAACAAATTCCATAATGCAATGTCCAGAATGTGGACATAATATTCACACTGATATCTGAACGGCCTCCATACCTACCACACAGATCTTTGCCAGCTGGCCTAACAGACTACCTGGCAGAAGTAGCAGGTTGCCATCATTGACAAGGACCACATGTAGGACCACCAGTAACAACATTTGCAAAGCAGGAACAGGTTGTGGTCAGGAATCTTGCTGTCTATTCTAATCCTGGTATGGGTCTTCAACATTACAGGCAGGCCCTTCAGCCTTCTGCCTCACCCCAATAATAATAAAATATCACCTGCACTTGAGTGTCCAGGCTCAAGTACAACACTAGATTTGTCTTCCCTACTAATAGGCTAATAATCTCCTAAACCAGCATTTAACCTGCCATAGGTTTTTAATCACTTTTCAGAATTAAATTATCGTATTTTATGAATACAGGATAACACCACAGTCTACAGGCAGCTTCTCAAGGTTAAACTCCAAGACTCAAATCTCCCAGAATATTACAGCTGAAGTTATCATCATGTTATAAACTCTGTACTACTCTGCAGAACAGTAACACAATCACATCTCTGTTCCTCGGTCCTCCAGAAGAACATAGTGTATTCAAAATCACTGGAGAGCTTAGGAATCAGATGGTAATTTCCACAAGAACTCTTCAGCAGTGATTGCAGCAGCATAGCTGCATTTACTATAGCTCTAAATAACTAGATGATGTATTTTAAATTTCACAGTCAGTCTGCATCAAAGTTTCTGGTCTCCAAAATATGCATGTGTGCAAAGTGAAAAACAAGTCTTATGAGGAGCGGCTGAGGGAACTGGAGTTGTTTAGTCTGGAGGAAAGGAGGCTGAGGGGAGACCCTATCGCGCTCTACTACTGCCTGAAAGGGGGTTGTGGCAAGGTGGGTGTCAGTCTCTTTTCCCAAGTAGCAAGTGAATGGCCTCAAGTTGTGCCAGGGGAGGTTTAGATTGGATATCAGGAAAAATTTAATCACTGAAAAAGTTGTCAAGCATTGGAACAGGCTGCTCAGGGAAGTGGTTGTGTCGCCACCCCTGGAGGTGTTTAAAAGTCATATAGATCTGGTGCTTAGGGACATGGTTTAGTGGTGGACTTGGCAGTGTTAATGGTTGGACTTGATCTTAAAGGACTTTTTCAGCCTAAATGATTCTATGATTAAAAAAGTAGAACTTTTGCTTCAGGCTTCCTCTTGGCTAAGGTGTGTCAATACTGACATCTCATCTAGCAGTATCTATTTCTACCTGCACTTTATATTATAGTATCTCTGCCTTCAATATCAGGTCATTCCAAATAGCGAGAATAGCAAAAGAAAAATAATAAAGAAAGTTAATTTTCTGCTATGTTTTGAGAACCGTGTAGAAGGCAGAGAACTTCCCAGAATGTTCAAGTACTGCACACAGTAACAGCATCAACCGCACTGCTGCAAAAGTTAGTACCAGCTGGTGCAGAGATGAAGGCTACAGGCATGATCCAATTCAATCTATTTCTCTTTGGTACACAGAGACTCTGACAGTCTTTGCTATTTCCCCTTTCCCTCTAACTATCTTCCAATTACTACAACAATCAGGGCAGAGAAGCAGTTTCAAACCATTTAGGTACTTATCGTGAATGACTCAAGAACCTCTGAGGCTTTTGCTTAATCAGCCTGAGACCAGGCAAAGCAAAACTGGAAGATGGCCACACTGGACATATCTCTATCTCAGGAAAGAAGTCAAAAAGCACATACCTGTATCTGTAACTAAAAAAAATAAAACACAAAAAACCTAAAACAAACCAACAAAAACAAAAAATCCACCACCAAAAACTATACTCCCTTTTTTTTTTATTAGGAAAGGAAAAAAATTTTGCATTAAAAAAAACAATGAATTAGCAAGCTTCAGCAAAAATCCGAAGGTTAAACTAGATGCACTGTCTCTAGAACCAAGAGAAAACCACTTGTTCTCTTCCTACTTATCAGGTGTCATTTCTATTAAAATTTACTACCTGAGTCAGCAAAAAAGTATTCTGTAACACTGAATATTATATTGACACTGTCAAAATAAATGAAAACATTCAGTCACAAGGAAGGGAGATACTGGAAAGAACTAGAAGTAATAAGTGCATCTGTGTAAAGTTTTTATATCATTAGTTCTTTGTGTTTACGCCTAAAAACAGCGAGACATTTGTATTCATTGAAGTATCTATGAATACTTTTTAAAAGTTTGAAAAATATGCGTAAACTTACATTGCAGAACAACAAATGACTAAGTTTTGACCCAAAGCAGGCAAAGCCCAGGAAATTTCAGATGGGTTTAAAGCTCTTAAAAATTCTAGTTTCTTTGCATTTCTCTTAAGTGGTTTAAACAGTTGGCCAGCAAAGCCACAAGCAAAGAGAATTTGATAAAGAATCACCAGTTCTATACTAGCCAAATCCAGCCCCTCCACTCAGCATAAATGCACCATCAGCCAAGTGAGAGTAGTAGCTGAAGCCCACAGATAAACAGAAATTAGAAATCAGCCATCGAGAATCATCTAGTCCACTATAACATAGCTGACAGCAGGCGATTGCAGATGCATGGCAGGAAACCATAAGGATCCCACAGCGGGTAGATGGGGGTAGTCTGCATTCCCCCTCTTTATATTAGCTCTCCTTCTGTGCTATAACCATGAAAAGCCTAAAGCCATCAGCAACTACGCTTCCAAATGATTATCATTCAGTATGATTAGACACAAGAGCTTTCATTAACAAAATATTAATTTTACAGAAGCAAGTATCAGAAGTTAGGAAATATCAAAGTAGGCTATAGAAAAAGAACGACTTCTGGTGAATGCATCATATTGCAGTCTTCAATGGCATGATCCTGTACAATATCCTCCACAAGTGCTGCCTCTTTGTATATAAAGGACAAAGGAGCTCACTTCACGAACAGCTGCTCAATGCTTTGTTTCCTCCTCAATCTTCAGTCTGCAGCCTCATGCTTTATTCAATATAGTCAATTCTTCAAAGCTTTGAAAAGAGAATTATTAATTTCCTCATAGGCTTTTCTCTTGCTACCAACAATAACAGCGTTTCACAAAACACAACAAATATTAATGATTTCATTTTCTCAAAACCCCAAAGGAGTAGCATTATAGCCTATTTTTCCAGTGGGAGTGGAGGTACGTAGATTACACTAAGAAATTTTCATTAATCTAGGATGCCCAATATGAGGTGACAAGGACATGTTTAATTCCCACTGTAGACTGCATTAGATCCAGTTTTAATGTTCAAGGCACATCTTCCATTCACCTCAGTTGCAGGTATCAAGACCGAGCAACTCTGCGATCTCAGCCTCTAGCAGAAGGAGGAGACCTCAGAGCCACAACTCAGATAAGGAGTATTCCTGGTAAGGCAGGAAGAGTTAGTGACCTCTTGAAAGCAAGTCTGGTATAAAAGATTATCTGCTCAGCAAATTCCACAGCAGAGCGTGGTACAGAATCTAATTCTACAGGAAAATAATTAACTATGCATTTTACCACCAATCCTCCACCTGCAATTCCCAGCTCGAAATTCCAACTTCAAAGCTGCTTCACCCCACAGCCTGCCTGCTACTCAGCCCTGACACATCCATCAAACTTTTATCAGCACTGAGATAGCATTCCATAAAAAGACAGTGTCACTGTGTATTTAAAAGATTTCATAGAATATATCAGTGCCATAATTTCCGCATTTTTGAAAGCCTGTGATTTTTCAAAATTTAAGAAAAATATTTTTATTTTATATAAATTTAGGTATTTATGTAATTTAGGTTTAATTTTCCGATATTAAGAAAAAAGAAATAAGCAAAAAAACCCCCACAGTTACAGTAGGTGGCATCACACCGACACCCATATGAACCACAGGTAGAGAAGGAAACTTTAAAACCCCTTTTCAGACATCTGCTGACAACCTTAGACAACTAAGACTACTAGCTTGACAGCTAGTAGATCGGGAAGATCTACTAGTCTCCACAACATTTCACATTGTATAAAGACTCTGTGGGAACCGCATTATGATCAGTGTAACAGAGCAGCTCAGCACTACCTTGTTCCACTCATTTCAGGTTTGTTGATGCAGATTCAAATTTTTCTTAAGAAAAAACTTTACTATTTTTCATCAAAAAATGAATTCTGGAATTGTGAATTTATACAGAAGAAAGCAAAGTCCAATTACAGAGTTTCATACTCTCAGGGAAAAAATGAAAGGGGAGGAAATAAAATTTAAAAATTTTTTTAGAAGTCACACACTGCTGTGTTCCCTGAAACTACTGCACCAACAAATGCTACGGATATTTAGAAGCTGTCCCAAATATTTAATAATAAATAAGTGTATTCAAACTAAGAGCTGCAAATGAACAATATATTTGATGCAAAAAGATCCAGAGGGAGTGCCTTTCCAATACTCAGGAACCTGACCTCCTGTTCAGGACAAGCGACAGCTATCAGCTCCACCTCTCAAATAATTTGATCTAATTTGGACAATATTATTTCTGAAAGGGAGCTCTGGCATCAGTTAACCACAACAAAAATCTTCAAAGAAAAGCTTACACTTCAAAGGAAAGTTTCCTATTAGTTTCATATTAGTTTCCAGTTAAAAAAAAAGTCATTTAAGTCAAGGAGGTAAACCTCAAGGCTTGTTCACAGATTTGCATAATGCAGCTGAAAATCAGCATTATAGTCAGGACAGCAACTGCATATGTTGCAGAAATTGTTGCATTACACCAAAATTTCCGCTCTGTATATTCAAAGTTGGGCTTTTTTCTCCTTTCCTGACTGACTTCTTAGCTGGATAACACTGACCCCACTGATATTAATTTTCACATTTATCTTCATTATGCATTTTGTATTTCAACTTCATGTCTAAAGATTTTTTTTTAATTGTGTTTAAAAGACTAAGTTACCCAGAGGCTTCATGAATTTGAAAGAAATTACAATTAATTGAATTTCTAAACTATTAAAAATTGGCAATTTTGAAAGCAATCATGGTATATAATTAACAATCGTCAAACCTCAGTGGAGGGGTACATGCTAATGTGTACAAGCTGGGGAAACATGCTGGAAATATTACATCTGTTCATCAGCCTGCACTGCCTCAAGAAAGAAAACAAAGCAACTCTGGCTTGAACTTAAATGGTGGCAATATTTATAACAGACCATCTTTTCACTCTATGCTAAGCCTGTTCAGCAGAGCCAAGTTTTCTCTTTGAAGGATCTGGCAGTAGCGTAGCTCACGTATTATACAATGTCACAAGCACTTATGCAAAGCTACAGAGAAAAATAAGCATCCAAAATCCCATTGTATAGGTAGGGATAATGAGAATCAGAGCAACAGAATGACTTGCCCAGGGACATTGCTGTGAGTCAAAAAAACAGAAAAAATCTGCACCTCTGGACTTTTAGCTTACTATTTTAACACTAAGCTTCCTATCAGTTTAGCACTTCTTCCCTGCAATTAACAACACAACTCTTCAGGGCAAGAACTGAAGTCAATGTCCCAAAATCTTTATTTGATAGAAAGCAGGGAAGGGACACTATTGGACGGTCCTGATATTTTCTTACTACTTTAATAGTGACTGCCAACCAAATTAAGTCTAAACACTAATCTACAGACTGCACTGAGATCATAAAGTCACAAAGTCAGTAGGAAAAAAAATTATGTAATTAAGCTGCACTCAGACAACTGGAAGACTAACCTATGAAGCAGACATATTTCTGCTCTCCCCTTATATTATGCAAATTAAATGAAGTTCTGACTACATTTTGAAAAAGAAATGCCCCGTGAATGGACTCTACTCATCTGTTATTTTTACATACATGTCTTTGCCCCAGGATTGTTAACCTGTTTGTCTTAATTTGGAGATTATTAGCAAGCTGCTTGAAAACATAGAGCAATAGAAAAAGGTGACATTCCAATCCTATTCCTAGCAGCATATAGGCATAGAATGTTTGAAAGAAAAACTTACCTTTTCCTAAGGTTTTAACTTTAAGTACACAATGTACATAAACATAACTCTCAGCACCCTGCTAAATATCACTCTCTGTCAAGGGATCTATCCCAGGAACTCCTCACCCATAGAAAAACTGCTCCTCAACTGGATTCAATACAGTCCATTTGGTCTCACTACCCAAGCGGATTCATAAAAATAACTTTATCTCTCCACAGTCTTAACTATTGTAAGAGATACCAGTTGCTACATTCCTTTAAGTGTTGTAGACAATAGGGTCTATAACATGACTCTGCAGTCAAAATGAAAATACTGTGATTATTTTCAAAGGTACATCCTTTGAAGTTGTTTTGTAGATGGCCTAATGGATCAAGACTAACAGTTTAAGATGGAGAGACAGCTTTCCTGAAAAAATACTCACTCATTTTGGTAACTGGCTAATTCAGTCTTTAGCAACTGTTCCAATTTTCATAAATTTTATTTACAGTTCTAATATAACTACTGAGTACGTAGGAAACACACAAATATTTTTATAATTATGAAGCTATGTAGTTCACCAGCTCTTAATTTAGTCTGGAAAAACATCTGTTCATAAAAATATGGGGCTGAGTGCATGTAAGAGCAAAATTAACTTACTGAATCCTTGCTCCTTCTTGCTATCAAACAAGAGCTGAATAACTCAAATAGGTTTACTAACTATTCATTAAAATCTAGCTCTACACCATTTTACAAATATAATACAGAGATTCAAATATCAAGAATATAGATTTGTGTTCTTTCTTTCTACACTGAAAATATAATTTATTTTTAGTCTATTGATATTTTGCATGGAAGACACAGTATATGCGTTAACACCACGTGTTGAGGAAAGTCAGTCTCTGCAGTCAGCATCATGTCTCTTACTGTATAGAAGTACATATGATAGGCTTGAGAATCAACAGTTGAGGCACAAACCCTAAATAATATAAAAGGCTGAGCTGATTCACTAATTAGAGGGCAGAAAGTATGAGTTCTTAATCCTAAGAAAATATGGAGGTTTTAAAGCCGACAAAATGCTATGTAGCTAAGTTAAACATTCCAAATTTTTGGTATAAAGTTTTAATTCATATATGACAGTGCTGTTAACCTCTGAACATTCATAAGGACTCTAAACACCTCAATTATGCAATTTGGACAGATTTCTTTTTTCTATTTTTTTCTTCAGTAGTAAATTTTTCGACTTCTATTCCATTATTGAAATTTTCCAGACCTTCAGTGTCTTGGTTTGCAAAATGGTATCAAATACCTGTTTAAAACACCTTAAGCTATATTTTTGTAAAGGTAGAAATGTAGGCCAGACTTTAGTATAACACTTTTATTACCTGTTTTTTCTGTAGAGGAAACACTATACAGATGGTGTATAGTCTTACAGAAGTAAAAGTAAAGTCTTACAGAACTTACCAAGTATCTTTCTGAAGAGACACTGACTAAAATAAGATCATCTCCAACACGCACTTTTTCTCCTTCTGATCGTTGCTTGGAAGCAGGATGAATGGTCCACCAGCATGCCTCACCTATATCATTATTGAGTAACAGCAGAAAGACATTAGAAAGAAAATGCCCAACATTATTGCCATTACTTTCACATCTCAATCTTAAAGTTCTGACACAGTTTTCAGTTGGGTAAACCAAGTGTCCATGTGTTTTCAACAACTAATACTGTTCCTGCACCACCCTACCAGAAACTCAACTAGAAATAACACACATATGCAGAAGACAGCCAGACCTCTGGAACAGTGATTCCAGAGTTGAGTAAGGAGGCGTCTCTCTGTGTTCTCCAAGCAACCTAGTCCAAGGCTGCTTTTGCTAAAGAGCTTCCCTGTTCACCTTCGTTCCAGGTTCTGGGAAAGACATGGAAGAATATTCTGCCAAGAATTAGGACAAAGAAGTGGAGCAACACATCATTAAGGGCAATAAAAATAAGCATCTACAATATGGCTTAAAATAATATTTGAAAGATCTCATAAATCCAAATTCAATTATGTTCTTCCACTTCCACTGACTGTTAGTGTCTCTAATTCCCTATAATATTTATAAGTATTAAAACCACATATTTTGTTCCATGATAAACCTTGCTTTCAGATATACTTCTTGAAGGAAAAACATGCTTTTCAGAAGAAACCTCTTCGATCTTGGAACAAACTGTTCAATTGTTGCAGTTATTACTGTTATTACTCCTAGCTAAAGCAAGGCTTTAGAAAACAAGCAAACTTATTATTTCTAATTAAGCAATTACACCAAACTGATGTCATTGTAAAAAACTGCATCAGTCTTAAAAATACAAATACATCCAAGTCACCAGCAGTTCTGCCACTTTAATAGAAACTTTATTTAAAATAATACAAGTTTTAAAAATTCACAGCAGAAGGCTTATACAGGAATACCTATTCGGGAATATTCCTTTACTTATACTCAATATTATATATTTATATTTAAATATCAATAGATATGTTTATCTCTCATAGAAAACAAATTACATAATCTATTAGAAAATGTAAAGATAAGCTACTGAATATGTAAAACATGGAAATATTAAGCTTTGTATCTTTAGTCTTTAAAATAGTCTTAATTTTTACATTATTTATATGTATTTATAAGTCTCTCCCAATTTTTAGACTGAAGGTATTCTTCATTACATAGTCTTTCAAACTAGTCTTTACCTGTTGTGTCCTCTTGCAATCCTACATCAAATGCCAGCTTATCCATCGAAGATCGAGATGTAGAGAGGCAGCATAGATACTATCAAAAGAAAAAAGCATGCATTGCTAGTTCTGCTCATGCCTGATAATCCACTGAAATATAAAAAGCCATCAGCCTCTTAACACAGGATTAACTATTCTTAAATTATCCCCATTAGTTACCATCAAGAATATATATGCCCAATACACTGAATGGCACTCAAGGAAACAGAGATACATGTTCTAAAATAACCGCTCAGTCTATCCAGGTTATCTTTCCACTGATACGGGAATTGTGAGAGTGGAAATAAAGGAGCTGGCTGCATTGAAGTTCAGCTCCATGAAGCCACACTTGTAGTTAAGGAGTTTAGAACCCATATAATTCATCAGGGAACTGAAGAGCAAGGCTTCTGTCCAAAATATGTGCAAGAAGGAATTTCCCTTTCCACTCAGTCTCCAACGTATGTTCAAGTTGTCAGCCAGATGCCAGCTGTGGATTCAGTCACATCTTATGCAATATGCAATTTCCAAGGGAAAAGAAATGAGAAATCACCAGCTCAAAACAGACTGACAAACAGAGAACTCATCACTATGGAGCCAGACTTAGTTTTAGCAAGTACCCAGACATGACCAGCTTGGTTTCGTATTTCCAAGCATCTACCCTTCACAAAGGTTTCCATTAGCCACAGGTAAAATGCCTCACTGATGTGAATAATTCTCCAGATATCAATAAATGGCAATAGCCTGAGCACTTGCAAACATAACTTTCATACAAAAAGGAAATTGTTGCTGCTATCAACTCCTGTTACGTACCATGCCACTGTAGGAATGGCGCAGCAGGATTGCGTGCCCATAGAGTAGTGTTCGATGACCACCACCTTGTGCGGACTGAAAGATAAAAGAGAAGTGATATACTGGTACACTGTAATGAAATCAGGCCTTCTGAGAAATAAAAAAGAAATCCACATCACTTGCTGGACAATCTGTATTTTCCCTGTGACAGAGAAGTCTATTTCTTGATAAAATGCTATTCAGGGATTAGTTCAAGAAGGTAGTTTTATAAATGTGTTCTCGTTAGTTTTGATTGGATGTGTTCCTGTGCAAGCTGCCCTAGGTGACCCTGCCTTGGCAGGGGGGTTGGACCAGGTGATCTTCAGAGGTCCCTTCCAACCCCTTCCATTCTGTGATTCTGTGTGATTCTGATTGTCTCTTAATACCTTGACCTTTTCAGTCCTTCAGGGAGATCTAAGGTAGAATTTAGACAGGTGAATATAGAATCTACTGATGACTTCTAATAGAATTGCTCAATTCACTGATGAGGGAAAATGGTGTACTTTGTACCATCACCAGTTTCGTATAAAAATATATTCTAGAAGACTGAATCCTTCTTCCTCAGGCTGAAAGCAGGCAGTCTCTGGAGAAGAGCAGCTTCGATGTATGTCACACTACCCTCTACACCCTTATTTAATGTCCCATTTTCCTTCCAACTGATACACTTTTCTGTACAGAAAGTATGCAGATGGAGCTTCTGAAGTATTGTCCCTGTTTTACCAGAAAGTAGTAATGATATATCAACCACACTGAGTATCATCAAGTTCCAGACTGCTTGCCCCAGAGTGTTTTAAATACTATCAGACAGAATTCTTTATCTGCTAGGCCAGGTAAGTGCTCAAAGATATCCAAGCTAACTCAACAGGATTTGGGGGTTATGAAAATTCAGAAATCATGCCCAATGAGGAATGCAGCATAGATCTTGAGTGAAAGAAAATTAAAGTAATAAGATTCACTTTTATCCCAAGAAACAGCAACCATTTTTTTCCACAATATTTTCATTACAGTTTCTATTTACCTATAATCACTTTAACCACTCATGAAAGAATAAATTTTGTTAAAGCATGAGTAACCTTTCAACTTCTGCTGAAGATTTATGAATTCTTTAGACTGAGATGCAGCTGACTGACATTGGTCAGGAGCAGAGACTGTCAGACGAGCGTATATTCCTCTGACAAATGATCTCACATAACATTATGCACATCACACTCTTCAAGCAATATTGATAAATACATGTTTTTGAGTCTATAAATGTGACAACTCCATAGGTAGTATTATTCTTTCATATAGGACTCCCAATTTAATTTCTTATATACAGCATTTATACCCTGTCCTTTATCACAGTAGCATGACCTTCTGTTTGACTAGAGCATCAGATTAATTACAAAATAAATTGGAAACAATCATCCTATGTTATCTCTCTGGCAGTTTCATTTCAGCACCAAAGATCAATTTCACTGAATGGCTATGGTGGCAACACACAATTATTTCCTCTCCTCATTTACTGGTTGTCTTTTATCCATTAGCATAATATTTGTTGATTTTTTAGTTACTTGGTCAATGAAAAGAAAAAAAGAGGACTAGGTGGTGAAAAAGCGAGCACTTAAAAAAAATACTGTAGCACCTTTAAGAAACTGCCAGAAATTTCTGGCTTTTATGTTTCATGAGAAGAGAGCATCTTGATGGACACAAGATATATTTTGACTTTCAACAAACTGCTCAGCAGTCAAAATGCAAGGAGGCACATTCAATGACGACTCTGGAAGACTGAATGATATGTATTTTTATTAAGAAGGAATAAAAGCTATGGTCTTTGTCACAAACACAGTCCTGACAGCAAGACATGAAGTTTTAGCTTTGAACTACCATCACTACCACCATTTTTTCCAAAGGCACAAGAAAAGAATGAGACATTTGATGACAGGTTCCAAAGATAAATGCTGAATGTCTGGGGCTCATCACATTGGGGAAGAGGGGAAAAAAACTGCTGTGAACATACTGCCTTACGAACAATTCAGGTTTGCCCAGAAGCTTCATCAATAGCAGGCATAGCTAACCAACCAACCAAGTCACTAATATGGATAAAAGTTTCAAATTTCACTGATACTTTTATTAAAATTATTCTGTGTTACTAGCCATAAATTTGATATGTAACATACAGATTTGGTTGCCTGTTGTACAAAAGATGAGAGGAATAGTGTGATCAACAAAATCACAGCTATGTTAGCTTGTCCTTGTTTTGGCCATATTGATTTGTCGGTCTAGCACCTATTTTGTTAAATGCCCCTTCGTAGCCGAACAGGAGAAAGGTTGGCTTTCAGTCACTTTTGTGAAAAATGAAGGAATGGCTTTTTTAGATAATTTTTCCCAATTTGCCCATTAAAAAAATGCAAGCACTTTCGCTGTTTCTGTTTCTTAGACAGAAAACAGAGAGTTGCAAAAAACATTTGAAGCAGTTTCCACTTAAAGGTTTCTGAGAGGCAATTCTAATCAAGCCATCCACATGCAGAGAAAGTGAAAAGATGAAACACAGAAAAACACATAAGAGACTGAAAGAGAAAACTGGTACTATGAAACTGCCTTCTATTTTGGAGCCTGCCTTCCAGGATATGTACATACCTCTAAGTTAATTTCCTATTCTAGAGGCTCATTTCATAACTAAATACTCAGCATTTACCTTTATGCCAGAAACTGCATGGTAAGTGGCTGTTGGCCCATGATTATCTACTGAAAGTCTTTGATTTTCAAAATACTCCATTTCCTACTTAGAATGTCCCAGAGAATTGTAAATTTTCCACATGTTAAAGAAAAAAGATAAAGTAAAATACATTTGAAAGTTAAAAATCAGACTTCCACGGCAAAGATGCAACATTCCAAGGTTAGGTGTGCCACTGAAGTTCTACCAAGTTTCTAGTAATAATTCAAATAATAATATTTCAGAAGACACTGCAATTAAGACTTCTTGGAAGCCACAATCCTGACTAATTCAATCTGTAAAGCCCACAGATTTTTGCACAAGTATATGAATGGCATTATAATGCAAGCAAGTTTCTAACCACCACATTATTTATCGTGAGTCTTATTTGCTTTATGTTTTTTAATTCCAATTTTCAGAGTAATTTCTAAGTTGGACAATACGTTCCCTGAATAAAACCAGGCTGAAGAAAAATACATTTGTGTTCAAAGAAGAATTTATCCATTGAAGGTCTACAAGCTATGTCATTCAGGAGTATCAATTATATGAGAGCAAAACTCTTTTCATTTTGTCATCCAAGAATTTGGGATTTAGAATAGGACTTGAAAAGTCTTCAGAACTGGTAAACACTACAGTCAATAAATTGAGTTCTAAAGTATATAGGGCAAAACCACACTGCTTGTGAAAACTTCATATAGAACTGCCCACCTATAGTCTAATATTTCTGCAGCTGAAATACAAGATTAATTCGGAGTCACCTCATTACCCAAAAGCCATTGATGAGGCAAAGGCAATTTAGAATACAGCAACAACAATTAGAGCTGAAGAAATTAACATTCAAAATAAATGAAGAGCTTTCAAGTTCAATGCATTATTAGACCAGGCAATGAGAATAGACTACTAAGATCTGAGCTGCTTAATTTGATCTAAAGACAAAAACAAAAAAGGAAAATAAGTTTAAATTGGGAAATATTCTTTTCCTTGTTTTCTTAATAGAAATAGGATTAAAATGCCAAAAAGAACTTAAAAATTACAACCTACAAACTAGTAAAATGTGCAAGTGATGGAAGCCGCATAACATGAAATATTTATTAGATTGAACAAAAATTTATGTATTTTACTGTGAATACCAATCCTGCAGTAAGCTATGTTATACATAACGCAACAAACCCTTTATATCTGTACAATTTTGTATATACACAACCATCATATGTACAGACATGCAGTCACCTGACAGATTCTCATTGACATTAATTCACACAGTAGCACTTGCATCACTGTGCTTATGGCTGCATTTCTACACTTCTGGCCATACATGAGAAGCTGCAGGAAATTAATCATGGTGACATTGAACAAGTGTTTGGGAGCCATTTGTGCTTCTGGGAACCTCAATTACAATGAGAATTTTTAGAAACTAGTGAATACCCTGTGGCATCCAAGGAGATTTTAAGTCATCTATTCTTTTCAAAAGAACAGCCTTATTTCTACTAGCAACAACATTTCTTAGACCAATGAGTACTCTACTGCAAGCAAATGCCAACATTGCTTTGATGACTTTTCTTCATAGGCCTACACAATCTCCAAATGTATGAAAATGGAAAAAGCTACGAGCTTCAGGGGGGTACCAGAGAAAGGCAAACATGTGAAAGCATGTAATCAAACAGGATAGTTATTTCAGTCTTTCCTGCATGTACAGATGAAACTTTCATAACTCCGGCATTATTCAGAAATCTAATGCTTGAGAAAGCCTCATAGCAAGTGCATTTAGCACGTGGCTATTGAGACAATTTTAGTCACCCATGAAAGCAATTTAAAAATACTGAATGTGCCACAAGAACACAGGAACTGAACTACACTCTCTAGAAAATCATACAAGATAACACAGTGAATTTTTAAGAACAATGTAATGCTTTTCCTGCCTCATTCCATGATGAGCCCATAACAGCAGAATGGAATTGGTGGCACATGCTATAGGGAAAATGAAAGTACAAAGACTAGATTGTAAGGAAGTATAGTTTTGATGGACTTAAAAATCAAGTGAAACAAGACATCAGTAGTAAATCCTTCAAAAGTGCAATCCATATAATTTATAGTAATGGTAAATTACAACCTAACTGCAAGGAGTTGCTTAGACCCCGCCATAGGAAACACCAGATCAAATGGTCTAGATGGAGCTTAGGACCACTCAATATTGCTCTGAATGCGTTTCTAAAAAATACTACGCAACCATTTTCGTGGCACTGAAAATTTTTAACACGTGAGAGCGGCTGTACAGTGAAAGAAGTAATGTGCTCCCTGTTTTTCTTCACAGGTGTTTTCCAAGGCAAAAACTGCAGAATAACATTAAAAGTTTCAAATATGA